ACTCCTTGAGTTCTTCTCTACCCATATCCTGCTATAAAATACCCAAAGAGATCTGACAAGCCTCAAGACACAGAAATGATTATAATCTGCCCGTTATTAGTCTTTTTATTCAATTTACTCTCAAATGAGATCTGTAGCTATAAAACAGTACTCTTAAAACAAAAGGGCAAGACCACAGTGGCAAAGGTTAAGTGACATGTAAATTCCTACCTCTTCTGGAGCACACATGCTGAAGTGTTATCATGGTAATGTTCCCAGAGGAAGGTGAGGAAGAAGAGAAGAGAGCAAAGGTAAATGCTGGGCTCTTCACAGTGGAGTGGGCAGGAAAGGCCAGTCTTTGGTAAAAAGATTAACCCTACAATCTGCTTCCCTTGTAAGTCATTTTATTTCTCCCTTTTCTGAAAACAGCAAATATATTTGGGAGGAGTCATGCTTAAAGTTCTTGTCCATTAATATTCCTGACTTAAAACACACCCACCAGGACCTAACAAATTGGTTTAGGTCAAGGCTTTCATTTTGGACACTACAACATTTTTCTAAACTAAAGATTTTCTTGTTGCATATTATAGGATCTTTAACTAGCAGCATCTCTGGACTCCAGCAATTAGATGCCAGCGGTTCACTGCTGGGAATAATCAGAAATCTCTCCAGATATCGACAAATGTCCCTGGGGATCAAAAATCTTTCTCTACCCCACTGAGAACCACTGGTCTAAGATATTCATATAAATCTTCCCAACAAGTTAGGGGAGTTGACCCAATCAAACACATTTTCAGCTGTGGAAACTGAGACTCAAGGAAAGAATGATACAAGTTATAAATGGTAGAGCCTGAATTTGTATTCAATGTGTTTTTTTTTAATTAAAATAATTTTTTTTTCTTTCTGAAGCAGAGTTCATAAACAATAATCTGAAAATTGGAGAGGTAACAGATGCTCAAACGTAGCAAGATACAGGTAATGGATGTGAAGAAAGTATGGATCAGATTTACCAAAAATGTAGTGTTTTATTCCATATGGTAACTTAATCGTAACAAATGCTTGCAAAACTTGTTTTTACTTTCACTCAGGATCTTTGAGACAACCAAGAATCAAACATGGGCCCAATGTACTGAGGTGGATGACCTGCTGACCAATCAGTAGTCTCCAATGAATACCCATAAATGAATTTTGTCAAACCAGAGGAAGGACTCTAGAGCTTTGGCCCTAGCTCTATCTTTGCAACATTTTAAATAAATAATACAGGAGAAAAGCAAAGTAGGCAGTCTCCCAAAAAGAAGAATCCTCTTGGTAATATTCAGAGCAAAAACACAGTCTGCACTATTACTATATAAGAGATGCAGTCACTCCCACATTGTAAGGAAGCTGGCTTCAATGCTGGTTATTTCAGCCAAAAGGCTTACCCTCAATACTAAGCAGAGAACTTAATGTTATACAGCTACATAAAACTAGATTCCCTTCTAAATGAAGAAAAAAAAAAAAAACCAAAACTTTTTTTATTTAGTATGCCATAAATATAGGATGTGTGGGAGGGTAATTGGCACACACTAGATTAGAAAAGGCAACTGTCACTGAACAGCCAAAACCCTGTGAATGGGGCTAGAGAGATAGCTCAGTGGTTAAGGGCACAGGCTGCTCTTGCAGAGGACCTGGGTTCAGTTCCCAGCACCCACATGGTGGCTAACAACCATCTTTAACTCCAGTTTCAGGGTATCCAATGCCCTCTTCTGGGTTCTATGGACATTGTATGATACAGGTACACTTACATACCTGCAGGCAATACACTCATACACATTTAAAAAAAGAGGGAAAAGAAAAAAGGAAAAAAAAAAAAAAAAGAAAAGAAAAAACCCCAAACCTGTCATATATTGTGGCTGCTTCCAAAAGTCCACTAACTTCACAAAGCAATTAGAAAAATAACTTACTGGAAAAATCTCATTTCCTCAGTTTGAGGGCCTGCCTCAGTGACTACAGTAAAGGCTAACAGTTGTTGAACATTATGATGTGCCAGATTTTAAAAAAATATTTATTTTTATTTTTATGTGTATGAGTGTATTGCTTGCATGTGTGTAAAGAGCACCCGTGTTGTGCAATGCCCAAGGAGTTCAGAAGAGGGCATCAGATGACCTGGAACTGAAGTTATAGACAGTTGTTCGCTGCCATATGGGTGTTGGAAATTGAACCCAGGTCCTCCGCAAGAGCAGCCAGTGCTCTTAACCACGGAGTCATCTCTCCAACCCTGATGTGCCAGATCTTAAACACTGCCTGTTTCATTTAATCATCCCTCAAATACAGGGATGAGAGTTAATTACTACTACTCCATTTTACAGAGAAGGAAATTGAGGCTCAGAGAGGTTAATTAACTGGCAGACCATATATCTAGGAAGTGGTAGAAATTAGAATATAACCTATGTAACCTGAAGAACAAAACGATGCATACAACAGTATACTGCAATATTCAAATCTTCTTCCTTCTTGATCTGTAAGGTAAGAAATTCTCTTAAAAGGCAAATGAGGAGCCAGGAATGGTGGCACACACACCCCTTCCCTTTAACCCCAGTATTGAGGAGCAGAGGCAAGTGAATCTGTGAGGCCAGCCTGGTCTACCTAGCAAGTTTCAGGCTAACTGGGGCTACAGGGAGACCCTGTCTCAACACGGCGCCTCTCCCCACCTTCAAAAAAACCAAATGAGAAGGGCTAGAGCTCAGTGGTTAAGAGCATCTGCTCACAATTGCCTGTAATTGCAGATCCAGGGGGATCAGAAGCCCACGCACACAAAAAAAATTATTTTTATAATTAAAAATAATAGTATTAATAAAATTTAATTTTTTATTTTTAAAATTTTTATTTTATCTGTATGAGTGTTATGCCTGTATGTATGTAAGTGCACCCATGTTGTACAATGTCTGCAGAGGACAGAAGAGGGTATCGGATCCCCTGGAACTGGAGTCATAGCTGGTTGTTAGCTGCCATGTGGGTGCTGGGATCCGAACCCATGTCTTCTGTAAGAGCAGTCAGTGCTCTTTACTGCTGAGTCATCCCTCCAGACCCATAAAAATAAATGTTAAAAAAAAACCAAGTGAGGCACACCTGATCTCAATACTTTTTTAGGTTATCACTTTTATTTTTAATTAATTACTTTTTGAGACAGGGTCTTTCTGTAGCCCCAGCTGGCCTAGAACTCACTATGTAGACCAGGCTGGCCTGGATCTGATGAGATCTGCCTGCCTTGGCCTCCCGAGGGTTGGTATTAAAGATGTGTGTCACCATGCTTGGATTATTTTTATTTATTTTTAGACAGAGTCTCAATATCATAGTCCAGACTGGCCTAGAACTCATTATGTAGTCCAGGCTCTCCTGGGACTAGCTCCTCCTGCCTTCATTGCCCAAGCAGTGGGAGCAGACTTGTACCACCATGTCCAGCTCTAGGTCTCATTTATATTGAATACAAAAGGCAGAGGTTCTGTACATCAAACAGGCAGAAGTCATTTTCAAAATTACAAAGATAGATTAACTAATTATTAACGCAATTACGAAGACAAATTAACAGAAAACAGATACAATATGCACAACTAAAACCAAAAGAAAATAACCTTCCCAGGGATATTTTATCAGTTTTAAGGCTACTGTTGCAATAAATTCACTCTGAATTTAGCATACACTTCTGGGAAATCTGTCAGTAATCAAATGTACAATACTGATTGGCAAAAAGAAACATCACTTCCTCTGCCTGTCGCCATGCATGTAGGCAGTGGTAGCAAATTCCCGTTCAAATACCACCTTCAACAAAGCAGTTCTTGATCTCTCCAAAGAGACTCTATCAAGCCATCTCTACAACAACATATTTGCTATTTCACTGGCATTTTATTCTGACTCTATCAAGAGTTAGAAGTTGCTTCCAATTCTGACTTGCTTTTTTATTGGCGGGCATTCATTCACATCTTTGCTCCAGGAAGCCTGCAGTAGTAGTATTCTTTATCCTAAGCCTGCAACTGGAGCTGCACCCTACAGGTGGAGATGAACACACTCAGACACACTACATACAAAAAACAATTCAGGGTGGAAAAAAAACCCTGACTGTGCCAAAATCTTTTCTGTTCTTGATCCACGCGGTAGACATCGCGCTTTAACAAAACCGATTCGGAGGTACAAACGAAAATGAAAGGGGAGACAAATGCATGAGAACATTCAAAACCCCTTTCTAATTAATACCACAGTACTTTCTCCACATAGTTTCACAAACCCATTGGGCACTTCTTGCCTTACACGGAGAATGAGTATTCCGTACTGTGAATGATCGCTTCTTGGAGTTAAAAGACCCTATCTCATTCTAAACAGCACGAGTGGGTGGATAGGAGCCATGTACCATTCATTCACTTTTCGCAATGTGAACCCAGAGCAAAGGCCATTCTCCAAAAGGGAGGGATTTTAAAAGGGAAGAAATCTCCAGCTAGCAACGAGGCCCCAGAACACGCACACAGAATGTGCAGTAGATGGGGCACCTCGGGCGAGGCTCCGGGAAACGTGGTTTGAAGGGCTGGGCACCACGCCGGGCTGCAGACCGGGCAACAGAGGTTGTGCAGGACGGGGGTTCTCGGGAAACGTGCTTTGAGGGGTTGCATCCGCTCCGGGCTGCAGAGGATGTGCAGGAGAGGAGGGTCACGGGAAACGTGCTTTGGAGGGCTGCACTCCGGCTCGGCGTGCCAGAGCTCCGGGCTGCGGAGGGGGCTGGCACGCTGCGGCGCTGCCCTTCCCGCTCCTCGCAGGCGGCCGGCGGTGAGGCCCTGCTCGGGGTCGCCGGCCTCCCCCGAAAGGCGCCCAGATGCACGCTCGGATGGCGGCGGCCCCCGCAGCCCCCAGGACGCGGCCTCCAGCCGCAGAGCAGCTCACAGGTTAGCCCTGCTCTTTTCGGCGCCTCACGCCCCATCCCCGCCTGCACCGGGCCCCACTCCGCACCCTGGGTCACTCCAGCCTCAACCCCGGCTCCGAGCCGCAGCCATTACCTTCCCCAAGCAAATGTGGCACGTGATGGGCAGAGTGAGGGACAATGTAACGTTCTGCACGGTCTGAGCCATGGCAGCGTTCAGAATCCCGCCAACACGGAAGTCCCGCCGACAACTGCTCCTCGCCACGCAGGGAACGGGAGAGCCGGCTACGGCGGCCTGGTAGGGCCACAGCAGGCCGCGGCGAATAAACGAAAACGCGCTTCTGAAAAGTGCTGTCGCCCAGGCATTTTTTCCCTTCGGTTATTAAACAATAATTATGACTAATAGCAGATTAAAAATAAAAAGCTTGCTGGTAATGAGAAGGAAAACTGTTTATTACAGGTTTCGAGGCTCTTGATATTTTAGGGAAAGTATAATTAGTGGAGGGGGGAGAGAAAACTAGGGATAAGGGATTTTAAAATCTCCACATCTTTCCCCAGGAAGTTGAATGGGAGGTGGGGGGTTAAACCTCATATAGTGAGAAAGCGGCGCAAACAGTACCAGAAAAGACGTTATCTGTATTTTGATTTTCAAAACAACTTTCCTCAGTTCCTTTCCTGTTCTTAAATGATACAGCGTACTCCGAGAAAGCACGATGATAATTCACTCCAAAGCAGTGATTTTCTTATGTATCCAACAGTAATATGGAGAAATTTAATGTCAGCTCTCCTTGAAGACAAAGTTTCACTAATCTCTATTCTGTGTTGTCTAACAAAAAGAAGCCAGGACTCCTATTGACCCTAAGTAGGGAAGCTGTGAACAGGGCGAGCCATCCACTTGCACAATGCATTTTAAAGCCTTCATTTTAGGTGCAACTTGGATATGAAATATACCACTTGTGTTGGACTCCAAGGAATACTTTGTGAGCTTATAAATTTGCGTTTCCTAAAAATGAAAAGGACAAGAAAATCTGAATGTTCCAAAATCAATTTTACACAGAACGCATGTGGAATTTAACTGTGAGGAAGAGCTAATATGATCAGTGATGCAAACCAATAGTGCACAAGTTGGGCAATTTAGAGAGAAGCCCAGAAGAATAACTACTAATCTTTCTGGAAAAGAGTGTTTAATGGTTTAGACACGACCTGGACCTGATTAATGGAGAAGATAGTCCTGTCCTGGACAACTTCCGAGGTCACAGCCTGAGACAATATTAAACCTCTGCCCCTTAGCGTTTTTTAATGTGTATGTGTTTGTGTGTGTGCCTTGTGTTAAATGAGAGTGCATGCTTACCATCATGTCTCTAAAATAACCAGGTAGTGATGCAATTGGAGCCTCTGGTAACTGGTTTGAAGAAGCCCAAGTTCAATTCAAAACTGGCTCACAAGTAGCAGTGAGAATTATGCCAAACAGCTCAATAACTTATTTCCTACGAACTGGAGATGCTTGGTTTTGGAGAACTGGGCAAAATAGTCATTCTGATTCTCTGTTTAGTGGCCATTTCTTCAGAATGCCAGGCGTGAAAGTCATCTGGTTCCATAACCTTCTGGTTGTTCGAAGGCAAAGCCATATTTATTCAAAATTCTTATGCTTAGCTAATGCATCTTCACCCCGTAACCCAAGATTCAGAATGAGGAAGACCTGTGGCAGTTCAGAGCCTCTTTCTTCTGTCTCTGAGTAGAGTGTAGGTCTAAGAATGCCCTGCCAGGGAATGTAGCAGCAGGAGACAGATGTGTTGAAGACACATCTTTCTCACAAGAGTTTTCCATTGCTTACCACTCAACTGCATTTCTTCCATATCTTGGTGATTGCTGCCAACACTTAGTCTCAGAGATAAACTTTAAAAATCGAAGCCTGTTTCAATTAGAATAGTAAGATCTAGCCTATTTCAGTATCTCCTCCTATCTTTACTATTATTGTCACAGCTGCTCAGTGTTCTGCCATATAGCTATGTCTGCACTAATCACATTGTATTATAGTAGATTATGTGTTTATTGCCATAACAAACTATGATTCTTGAGGTCAAGGAGTGCATCTGACTTTTCTAGTGTATACTAACTAGTAAGTGATTATTCCACAAATAATGTGTCTCTTATCTACAGGTTAGCTTTATATCAGCACAAGCTTTGGGGGACATGTAAAGGGAAGACTATATTGCTTTTTGAAAATTATAAAATAATAAAGTTCATTTTAAGAAAATTAAACTGTTGAAAATATACAATATAATAAGCAAAAGTTCCTCTGTGTGTTCACGGTGCTATCTTGGATAGTAATCACTCTTAACACCCTGGGACACATCCTTACAAACATTTCAATTCACATATTACTGTATGAATAAGTACAGTTTGCATCATGCAATAATATTCCTGCTTTGTTCACTTAATGCTTTGTGAATAAACACACACACACAAACACACACACGCACACATGCATACATGCACCCACGCATGCAAGCGCAAGGTTCAGATTGATTCCAGGCCAGTTCTCAGGCTTTTCTTTGAATAATATAAGTAGTTTAAGTTCAAGAACTGGTTCCTATTGACTATATGAAGGGATTTTTCCCTTTTGGGGGCAAATTATGTTCTAAATAAACATTGTTGGCCCCAAATTGTTAAAAGATGCTGTCATTACTCTAAAAGGAAAACAAAATTATATGGCTCACTGAATTACTTCTTAATTTCTATTTTACCTTCTCCATAGCCTTATGAGCAGCTCTGTGAACTGAAGAGTTCCATTAAGATGCTAATTGGGCAAGTTAAGACCTCCTGAATCATTAGAATTACAAACCTGTAGCACCAGAAAGGCTCTTAAGGTTGTTATGAAGGCCTCACCTTTCACAGATGAGGAAATTGAGGCTTGGATATGGTGTCTCATCAGATAATGGTAGAATTAGAGCTAACTTCTAGATCACACTTGAGGACTCTCTGAGGTTGTTGGCCCCATGCCTTTGAGTAAGTGCAAGATGTATTATTATTAATAAAGTAGTTCAGTAATAAGAAGTCAGTCATAATTGAATTTCTTTGCTAAAAAAACTATCAAATAGCTATAGAACACCTTTTACCCCTTGTTTAAATCAGATTCATTTTAATGATAAATTATTTAAAAGCAAGTTTAAAAAAATATAAAATCTTAAGTGCTATTAAAAATTGATTAGGAATGCATTATTCTTTCATTGACCCAGTTCAGATTGTTTTTTAATTTTTTTTGGTCAAAGCTAATAAATTTGAGTAGATGTTTCAGATAGACGTTTTGTAATCATTTGGTCATCAGTCAATTAATCACAACTTCATAAATATTTATTTCAGATTAGATTTATTTTTTATTCCTGTAAGACAATTTTTTGTTTATTTAAGTTTATAGACCCCCACCTGGATTGTGGCTAAAAGTAAGAAAACTCATAAAAATTATATTAAAAATTAATCAGAGGTACTGGCCCAGCTGCATGGAAGAGATATGAGATACCACCCTCTCACAGACTGAGAATTCTAAGCTAGAATATCCCAAGATGGTGGCAGAAAAAAATGTTTGTTACTGCAGCAGAGGAATTTGGGGTGCTCTTCTGTAGTGATTTTTGGTTTTTGTTTAAGAATACACTAGGAGCTGGAGACATGAAGAGCACTGGCTGCTCTTACAGAGGACACAGGTTCAGTTCCCAGAGCCCACATGGTGACTAAAACAACTGTCTGTAACTCCAGTTTCAGGGGATCTGACCCCCTCTTCTGACCTCACATCTGGTACACAAGCAAAACACTCAGACACATAAAATAAAAATAATAAATAAGAATAGATGGTTGCATGTTGTCTGCTTTCATTATAAAGCTACCTCCATTCATTTAGTGTGTATTCATGAAAAGCACTGAGGGAAACTCATTCAGATGAAGTTCTACTTCATGGAGCTTACATTTTGCTGCACAGAACTGGAATGAATCCTGGCTTCTTGAATAGCAACAGAAATTAATACTGGGACTGGAGAGATGGCTCAATGGTTAAGAGCACTTGTTGTTGCAGAGAACTCCAGTTCCAGGGGATCTGACACCCTCTTCTGACCTGCGTGGGCATTGCGTGACATAGGTGCACTTACATACATGCAGGCAATACACTTGTACACATAAAATAAAATAAAATAAAATAAAAATAATAAGTAAAACATTTTTAAAAGAGAAAGAAATATTAATGCTGAAACTATACACCAAGGTCAAAAGTAAGCTCAGCATAGTAACTGCTGAATAACTAAGTGTAAGTAGTTATTCATTTGTTCACTCCACCAATATTTAAATATTTTTATGTGCCAGACACTGGTTGAAGGGCTGGGTATTATGCTGTGACTCAGATAAACAAGATCACTGACTTCATTTATCCACTGAACAAATATTTATTGATTATCAATAATGTGCCTGCCACTTTGCTATAAATGAGACCCTTTATGAATCTAACAACTGAGTCCAGCACATGTATTCCATCCTAACATGCCTATTTCTGCTGTAATTTCTTCCCTGGATGCTCTTATTGTTGGCTTGCCCCTGGCCATTGTGACATAGCAGATTATAATTTTAAATATTTTAAAATGTTGCAAATTGGGTGATTGTTTTAAATTAGGTCATTTTAAGAGAATATTTTATTTCCACCTAAGGCTAAGTATTGCTTTATAAGTGTTTGTTGAATGGTAGGAAATAAATGAAAGAAATGTAACCTCTGGAAATATTGTAACAAAACCCAGCAAGGTCAGGAGGTTGTAGGATTTGCCAATGTATTATCACTGAGTAGGAGACCCAGCTCCAAGAAACTGACTGCTTTGTACATTTAGTTGACCATACATGCACGTTTATTTTCTTCTTGCCTTCATTTTGGATGTGAACAAAAATTCCAAAGTAATGCTCCCCCATAGGAACCCTAAAGCCAGGCTTCTTTAAATAAAGCTAGTCTTTTCATCCAGTTTACTGAGAATTGCATTCTGTTTGAGAGCACCTACCCACAAAAGCATTCTGCACTTGACCATGGGTCCTCCGCAGCTGACTGGAGTCTTGCCAAGTTTCTTTTCCCAGAAACAAGGCCCCATGCCTTTTCACACACAGGCTTCCTAGTCATTGATTCATCGGCTGAGTAATTTACCTTATCAAGGTATTTATCTTAAGATTAAGGCTTTGTATCACCAGTTCATTATCATCAGCTTTTTGATCTGTAGTCTCACTTTCTTTTCCTCTTTCACACCATTAATTATGACACATACTTATTTCATACATGTTTAGCAAACTGCTGTGGAGTTGAGGAGGTAGAAGATAACTCTAGCACTGCAGCTCACTGACCTGTATGAGAGAAAGTAAGTCACTATCTCTCTGTGGAAGTCAGTTC